GTGGCTGGGCTGGCTCAGATTAAAAAAAGAAACAGGGCTAAGACAGAAGCAAAACAGAGGAGCAGAGGAGAAATTACTCCTCAGATCTGTGGCTGGGGGAGAGTTCAAGAGCAGACACAGAGTATCAGAGATGAAACTGACTGCTTTACTTACAGAAAATTTGAAAGTTTTTGCACAAATAAAAATAATGCAGTTAAAATTATATGAGAAAGTTAACTGGGGGAAAAATCTCTGCAGCATGTTTCTGTGATAAAGGTCTCATTTCCAGGATATCTAAGGCACTGGTTCCAATACATAAGCCTGAGAGCCCTGCTCCAATTGGTAAATAATGGTCATGAGGATATGAAAAGACAGTTCCCAAAGGAAGAAATCCAAGCTCTGAACAACCATAAGAAAAACAAGCTTTTTTAAAAACAAGGGTAGAGGAGGGACTATGGATAGGGTCACCAAAATACATTTCAAAAAAGAAGGTAGGGGGCAGCTAGGTGGTGCAGTAGATGGAGCACCGGCCCTGGAGTCTGGAGGACCTGAGTTCAAGTCTGGCCTCAGACACATGACACTCACTAGCTGTGTGACTCTGGGCAAGTCACTTAACCCCAATTGCCTCATACAAAAAAAAACAAAAACAAAAAAGAAGGTAAGACGGTTATGGAAACATTTCTACAAATGCACTCAAGAGCACAGAAGGAAAGTAAATAAAAACCAGGCAAGGCAGGCCAGTTGTGATTTTGTCATCTGCATGGAGGGTACAGAAGAGAGACCGACCATCAGTCCTCTGTTATGCTTTCTATGTGGAGATGCTTATCTCATTTGGCATTTGATATTTGTAATTTTTAAAACAGGATATTAAACCAAACGATCAGGGTTGTTGAATTGAGGGGAGCCTCGAGGCCTTGCACAGGAGCCTGAACTTTGCTCATTCAGGAGAGCCACATACATGCCAGCTCCATGTCCCCCGGCCCATAGGGAGCCCCCAAAGAGCCCTGCAAGCCTGGCTCCTCCCCGCTTCCCCCTTTAGCTGGAAGCCACACAATGTCTTGCATTGTTACTCAGCTATTTCCTGTGTATAGGTCGTCCCTCTCCCAGTAGAGGGGATGAAGGGGAAGCAGTCCTTCTGTATCACCCTCAGTGATTTGCAGTCCTCTGGGCATCGCCTGGAGGCATTTGTGATTACATCCTTACCTAAATAAATACTTTAAGGGAATGAATGAATGAATGAATGAGTGAACAGAATGACTGGTAATAATGAGCTGGAGGGAAAAATGTTCAATTGACTAATTAGCCAACTCACAAAGCTGCTACAAAAGGAGACAGAAGCAGGGCCAGGTAAGACAGAATGAACGGGTGAGCGTGATCCTGCTGTGTAGGGAAGCCAATGGCAGGGAATGGTATTTCCCAAGTATGCCAGGGCTGAAGGCGGTACAAAGAAGGGCCAGGAACTGCGCTTTGGGCAGCTTTAATGGGCGATGATTTGCTAGCTGGCCAAAGGGAGAAGGCTGATTGGCTCAACGTGAACACGGCTCCTGGAAATCCAACGGGGAGCCCTCCGAGCTGCCCATCCTTTTTGGCCCCACATCCTTGTGCTCTGAAAGAACTGGGATGGCTGATTCACTCTCAGGGACCTGTGAAAGGTCATGGCAAAAAGGAAGAGGCACCATGGGACTGCCAAGGGGCAAATGTGGCTCTTTGCAGAAAAGGAAGAGGATGAAATAGCATTTGAAAAGCGCTTAATCCATTGCCCCATAGATAGAAGGCACAGTAGCAACACTAGCTACTAATACTATTGAGGGGGGTCCACAAAGGACAGGCCAGTGAGCTTGACTGGGATTAGAGGCAACATTCTAGATCCCATCAAAGGAATTGCTGGAGAACATCTACGAAGGAGAGTAGTGATGACCGAGAGCCAGCTTGCCTTCATCAAGCACATGGCATGCCACCTGGACCGCCTTTCCTTTCAGGGCCAGGATTAAGAAAAGCTAATGATAATGGCTAGCATTTATACAGTACCTAGATGGTTTACAAAAGCACGTGCGCGCACGCGCGTGTGTGTGTGTGTGTATGTGTGTGTCTGTGGTCTCATTTGGTCCTCACAACCACTCTGGGAGGGAGGTGCTATTATTATCTCCATTTTACAGAAAAGGAAACTGAGGCAGATGACAGTGAAATGATTTACCCAGGGTCACACTGCTTGTAAATGTCTGAGGCAGGATTTCAACTTAGGTTTTCCTGACTCCAAGAGTGATACTCTACCTAGTGTGCCACATAGCTGCGAAATGTATTAATTCCGGATTACTACATTAGTAGATGAAGGGAATGCTGTGCATAGCTGACCTAGAATTTAGCAAAGCTTTTGATAAGAACCTTACGTTACTCTTACAGAGGAGGGGGCTAGAAGATAGTATAATCAGAAGGGCCCAGAGGTCTGTGTTAGGGCTTCCACGTCAGTGAGGCAGGAAGTCTCTAGCGGAGTGCCCCAGGGATCTGTGCTTGCTTCTTTCTAGTCTAAGGCTCTTTGGCTAAAGGGACAGATGGCATGCCTGTGGAATGTGCAGACGGCACAAAGTTAGTAAGGCGAACTATCAAAGTAGATGGCAGAATCAGGAGAGAAAAGGATCTTGCTTGATAGGCAAGCACACTGGGCTGAATCTAAGAAGATGAAATTAAATTGGGACAAATGTAAAGTTTCCCACTTGGATTCAAAACTTCAGTAACAAAATATAAGATGGGAGTGGTGTGGATGGACAGCACTGTTTGGAAAAGATTTGGGACCATTTTGGAGAGCAATTTGGAACTATGCCCAAAGGGCTATAAAATTGTGCATACCCTTTGACCTAGCAATACCACTTCTAGGTCTGTATCCCAAAGAGATCATACAAATGGGAAAAGGACCCTCATGTACAAAAATATGTACAGCAGCTCTTTCTTCGGTGGCAAAGAGCTGGAAACTGAGAGGACACTCATCAATTGGAAAATGGCTGAACACATTGCGGCACAGGATTGTGATGGAATACTACTGTGATGTAAGAAATGAAACCTGGAAAGACTTACACGAACTGATGCAAAGTGAGCCAAAACAGGAAAACACTGCTGTTGGATGCAGCAACAGCACTAATGTGCAATGATCAGCCACGAATGACGTGGCTGTCATTCTCATCCAGAGAGAGGCCTGAACTCTGAGTACAGACTGAAACCATTTTTTCACTTTCTTTTTCTTGCCTTTTTTTTTTTAACAACATGGCTAATATGGAAATACGCTTTGTATGATTTCATATACACAACTGAGGTCACATTCCTTGCCTTCTCAATAGGCTGGTGAGGGCCAAGAGGGGAACTCAAAATTTTCAAAAAGTGAAAGCTAAAAATAAATAGTAAATGAGGATTTTTTTTTAAATTAGAATTTTGAGTGGACTGCAAGCTCAGTGTGAATCAGCTGTCTGAGTGTGAGTTGGCAGCCCCAAAATAACTGTATTAAGGGAGAGCTCCCAGGACTACGGGCATGACAATGGTACCGTCCTTTGCCCTCATCAGATTTTATCGGGGGAACGGATTCAGTTCTACGTGCCACCTGTCATTGGTGAGCTGCTGGGCCGCGTCCACAGCCAGCAGGGGATGGCATGCACCGTTCTGTCTGAGGCTTTGGACCCCCAGTCCTGAGCACTGTGCCAGGCACACGGGGGTGATTAATACATTCCTCTTCAGTTTACCTGAGGGGGAAGCTGCAGCCCCTCAAGGCCATGCATTCCTCTTGGGGACGACTCAGCCAGTCTCTGACTCTTTGCAGTAAATGGTGCTGGATCTGCCCCAGAGGCCAAGTAAGACTGGGCCAGTCTCTCCTCCAAGCAATTGCCCATCAAACATTGAAGACAGCTCCCACATCCCCTTGCGCCTTCTCTTCTCCTGGCCAATGGGCCCAGCTCCTTCCACCAATCCTCCTAGGGCAGGGACCTGACCAGTCTGGCTGCCCTCCTCTGGACCTCTCCAATGTCTCTTTGGCTTTTCCTAAAATGAGGGCAGCCCTCCAGCTGCGGCATGGCAGGAACCCTAACCCTCTGACCTCCTGGAGCCTTGGACGCTGTCCGTCGCCCTCTGCTCCAGGACACTCTCCAGCTTGTGGTGACTGCTCTCTGTTGAGGCCCCCTCCATCTCTGGTGCTGGCTCATCACCTGGTCACCATCCAGCCCCCTCAGCCCTCCATTGCTAGCTGGACATTATGAGGGAGTCCCTTTTCCAGACAGAGCTGGCTGCTGTCAGGGGGAGCCCTTTTCTTCCTTCTTCCCTGGAACCTGTGACAAGCTGAGCCGCTGAGGCGAGGCCACCTTGCCTCCTCCATTCCCCACCCCACAAGCTGCTGAGGGTCAAGCTTGGTCTGGGAGCAGCCAGTCTGTATACTCTGGAGGGCTGCCTGGCTTAGGAGGCAGCAAGGGGCTGATCAGGCCACCCAAGTGGCCTCTTCATGAGTGACCGCCAAAACCTTATTGGTGTTTGGGCCAGCCTGGCCCATCGGCCTGTTTTCTTTAAGCCTGACCATTCTCTGAGCCCCTTCCCCACAGCCTGTCTAGGAGGTAAGCAGTATTGCATATATTTTATAGAGAAGGAAACTGAGGCCCAGAGAAGGAAAGTGACTTACCCAGGGTCACCCAGGTTGCAAATATCAAGGGAGGATGTGAACTGGAGTCCTTGGACTCCAGAACCAGAGCTCCCCAGACCACGCTGCTTTCCTGTGTCCTCAGAGGCCCTTGGGTCCTACCTCACAGACCCTGACTCTTCAGAGAGGGAGAGCGGGTTAAGCAAGTGTAGCTAGCCATCATGCCACTGGGCTGGGATTTGGGGCCCCAGCTCCTGCCTCTCCTGTGGGCTTCCTGTCCTCTAGAAGCATGCAAAGGCCAGCTTTTCAGGCATCCTTCCTCCCTCTGTAAGTCATGGTGCAGTCAGAAGCGGCCCTGCCCTCTGTGGAGGGGAGAACCAGGCCTCCTGTATGGACGCACACGTGGGAAGCTCACCTCCGTCACTGCAGGTCTGGGAGTCAGAGGTCAGGCTGTCTGTGGAGCCAGCGGTGAAGTGGACGCGGGGGCCACTGAGGCTGTCTGGCAAGCCAAGGCTGGCCTGTTCCAGATCAGAGCTGCTCCTGTTCATTCTTAGATGCCTGGAAAGGAGAAACCAATGAAATGAGGCCTTTAGGAAGAAGGAGCCTGGGATGGAGTTATGGAATCAGAGTGGTAGAAGGGACTCATCCCCATTTACACATTGTGCCCAACAAGTGTGCCGTCATCCTGCCTCTATCTGGAGACCTCCCAAGGCACCTCTTTCTCCTCCAGGGCAGCCCCCTCCCCTCTTGAGGCAGCTCCTTCTCCTCCAGGGCAGCCCCCTCCCCTGGGGTGGGGTTTCAGTGCAGAAGCCACTGGGATAGTGGAGTGATTGTGGGTTGAGAGGTCCTCTAGGAACTCCTGCTTGCCCACTGTGCCAGACTGTCTCCATCCCAATAGAGACCTCATCTCTGGTCATTCATCCCTCCTCCCCTGACTTCACTGTCTTCTCTCTGCAACCTGGAATGGGGGGGTATGGAGGGGACCCGCCTCTCTCCCAGGCTATCAGTCTGGGCATAGGGGTGGGCGGTAGGAGGGTGAAAGGGTGGGACATTTGAATCTGTCTGTTGGAAGGGGAAGGAAATGCTCCCAGAAATACCAAACCTCCTATCTAATGGGGACTTGGGGTCCAACCAGTGCCTGAAAAAAAATCACTGCTACAAGCTGCCTAATGAACAATCACATGGTCTTTGCATGAAGCCCCAGAGGGGGAGCCATTACTCACACCCGCCCCCCCTCCAAGGAAGGCAGCTCACTGCACTCCTGGAGAGCCAGATCAACCCAATTTGATGAGCATTCGTTAAATGCCGACTGTGCTGACAAGCAAACCGAGACAAAAACAATGCATGCCTGCCCTCAGGGAGCTTACATTCTACTATTTAAGGAGGAATTGGTGGATGGTAGGGGCAGCATGGTGAACAGGAAAGAATGTGGGATTTGGGCCCTATTAAGGAAAGCTTCCCTTCCTTCTAACCCCCTCCCCTTCTGGTGCTTAGCCTGAAGTAAACACTTAAGAAATGTTCATTCATTCATTCATTCATTTATTCATTCATTCGTTCTTCCTTCCTTACTTCCAGGCTCAGACTTAACTAGCTTTGTGACCTTAGGCATATCAGGTAGAAAGAACACTAGCTCTGGCTTTAAAGGACCCAGGTTCAAACCCTGCCTGTGACACATATTAGCTATATGACCTTGGATGAGTCACATCTCCCATGGCCTCAGTCTACTCATCTTTATAATGGTCAGTTTACTTATGTTTACAATGAAGGGACTGGACAAAGTGACCTGTTACAGCTGCACCCTCAGTTTCTTCATCTGTAAAATGGGGACGCTATTCAAACTTACTTATCAAGTCACTTGGAGGGAAGTCCCCCTCTATACCTTACCACCAATAAGGAAATCTGAGCTGCCATTTTGCTGATCATGGATCATATTTGTCTATCTTTAAATCAGCCAGAACGAAAAACAAATGAGCCCAGCTGAACCCAGCTCAACTCAAACCAAGTGACTGACTCAACCTGGAACGGCCGGTGCATGCGGCAGGAAGATGGCTGGTGTCTCTCGGAAGGAGTCATTCCAATAGCGGTCTCTGGCTAGTCACGCCGCCCCTCTTGAGATGGGTTCTGACAACAGAGGAAGGGGCCTCCCTAAGCCTCCCACCCTTCCCCTCCTTCTCCTCCTGCCTGGCTCTCCCCCACACTTCCTTTCCTGCCTCTCAGCAGGCTGGACAGACCTTGGAAGAAGTGAGGGGGCAGAAATCCCCTGGCTCAGGCAGTGGGCACCCTCCTCCTCTGGGCTGCTTGCTGCAGCTGCTACACGGATGCCTTGAACGGGGTTTTCCCCGCATTGTGTTTGGGAGGGATGGCTCTGAGCTGCCCGCCCCCAGACTGGAAGCCAGCTGCTGAGAATGCCAGAAAAAGCTGGGGCCGGCAGGAAGGGCCATCTGCTCCACTTCCTCATTCATTCTCAGGAGCAAATCGCAGCTAAAAATACTGCCAAGCCCGGGGAGGGACCCAGGATCGAGAGCGTGGGGTTCCCCAGCCCCATCTGAGACTGCTGGGCACACACCCCAAAGCAGGGCTGGGGCGCGGCTCAGGGCACACTCATCCCCTCGCTGCCCGCCTCCTGCTCCTCTCCAGCCTGTTGGACTGATGCTTCCTGCCTCTGGGGGCAGAGCCAAGATCCCCAAATCAGGCTCACAGGTGACACAGACTCACACCACATCCATGCCCACGGGGCACAGCCCCAGCTTCGGTGTGCGTGAACGCGCAGACTAAAGAAAGTCTGGTGCCAAACACAAAATCTTTTTTCCTTTGTATTTGTGAAAGAGGAACCTGGCAGGCCAGTGCCCAGCTTTCCCCCGCCCCATAGGAGCCACAGCCCCCTTACCATCCTAGCCCAGCGGGCTCAGGGCAGCTCTGCTCTCCAGCAGCCCCCGCTGCAGGCCGGCCGCCAGCCGAGAGCGGGGCACACAGAGCTGTCCAGCCTCCCAGTCCTGCCGTGTGGTCCCTTCTCCGTGGCCGATGGAAGGTGGCAAGCGATTCCTCTGCTGACTCTTTCTATAGAATGCACTTCCTCTGCCTGACTGCCCCACGCAGATCCCTATGGGGCTGGTGCGCTCAGCTAAGCCCGCCTGACACTCCCCCAGACATCCTCACTCCTCAGTCAGTTAACAAGGAAGGCCACCTCATCTGACAGGGAAGGTGCACTTCCCAAGGCTTTTCATTCATTCATCCATTCTCAGCTCATCTTCTACGGGGTTTAGAGGGGCTGCCTCCAGTCCCTCCCCTCTCCAGCATAATTCTAGCCTAGGGCAAATAGTAAACGTACTGAGTGCCTACCCTGTGCCAGGCACTTCGGCTAAAGGCCACAAGGAAAGGCAAAAACCTGGCCCTACTCAATAAAATGCCACAACCTGAAGTCCCCCTCTTGCTCTAGAACCTGCAATAGCTCCCTGTGAGAGCACTCTGGGAGGCTGCATAGAATCTCTGCCATCCCCCATTATTTTGTTCCACCTTTTTATTCAAATACACAACCCTGCCAACCCACAAAAGCTCTTCAGCTCCCTTTGCTTTGCCTGACAACATTTAAATGCTCACTCCCCTCGCCCCAGGTAGAGCCCTCAGCTCAGTCTTCCGTTTCTTCTAGTAGCTTCTGAGCGGGGCCTTCCTAATCTAGCTTAACTACAGTCACATCCAGGCCAGATTAGGATAAAATAGAGACAGCATTCTTTCCAAAAAGATTCCTGGTTTGGCCCCTGTAAGCTGCAGGGCTACTGGAAGCAATGTGTTGATTCTGAGGCCTGAGAATGCCTTGGGGGGGGGGGGGTCTTGGTTTCACCCCCTGGGAATGTCCATGCTCCTTTCTCTCCTTGGGCCACAACCATCCTTTCAGGCCCAGCTCAAACATCTCCTCCTTCCCTCATCTTTCTTATACCTTGGTCTGGTCCTGTCAGACCTCTGCAAACCTTCAGCAGCTCCCAAAGACTTAGCGAGAAGAGAGGCCTCTCCCTGCAGGCGCCCTCTACCTCTCTGCTCTTACTTTGGCTTTCTCCCCAACACTGACTTGACAAATCCTCCCCCAAAGTGCTTGTTTGCCCAGTATTACGCATGCTTCTGTTTACACTTTCTGAGAATGCCTTTCTTTCCCCACTCTGATGCCCCAATTCCCACCGATCCTCTAGGGGAAATCTGGCTGGTCTTCCCCCTTGGGCAGCTACTGTTCTCAGCATGGACTGCGGCCTGCCCCACATCTGGGGCTCTGTCCAAGAGCTGGCACAGTGCCCGGCACAGGGTAGGTGCTTAGTAAATGCTTATCTACCAACTGGCAGGCCGGTGCCTTAGCTCACAAATGAACCAAGCCTCCTAGGTAGGCAGGGTGACCACCCTGGGACATCCCAGCACATGCATGTGTGCTGGACTTCGCAGGGTCATTGCTACCATCCAGGTAATCTCCTCCTCAGCCATTTTGTATTTACTGTGAGTGATACAACCTGGCACTGCCAAACTTATTCTTAAAACACATTTTGGACTGAGTCAGCCTTCAAGAAGTTTCAAGATGGCGAATGACAGGCAGCAACCCAGTTCCCATCACTCATCTCCAAACAACTTCAACGCCTCAAATCAAATTTTGGAGCTGCAGAGCCAACAAAAGGTCTGAGTGAGACATTTTCCCAGCCGAGGACAGTGTAGGAAGTCAACAGGAGATCTGTGATACTGAGGCTGGGGCTGGCCAAGACATGCAGCACCACCGCAGCCTTGTAGGTGCCCACAGAGGCAGCTTCGGGAGCTTGGGACAGCGCCTCCCCACCCCCAGGTGAGCAGAGTTCAAATTTAACATAAAGTTAAAGTAAAAAATAGACTAAAAATGAGCAACAACAACAAAAGAGAACTTGATTATAAAAAGCTACTCAGGTGGCAGGGAGGATAAAGACACAAACTCAGAAGACAATGTGAAAAATTTTACAATTAAAGCCTCAAAGAAAAATGCTAATTGGACCAAACCCAGTAAGAATTCCTGGAAGAGTTAAAGAAACAAGAGTAGTGGAGGAAAAACTGGAAAAAGATATGACAGTGATGCTAGAAAATTATGAGAAAAGAACCAACAGCTTACTTTAAAAAAAAAAAAGCACAAAAAAATACTGAAGAAAAAAATTCCTTAAAAAGCAGAATAGGCCAAATGGAAAAAGAGGTACAAAAGTTCACCAAACTTTTTTTTCCTTAACTGGAAAAATGTATGGCAGAAACTGAGCACAGACCAACATCTTACACTCTATACCAAGAGAAAGTCAAAATAGGTACAGGATTTAGATACGAAGATTGAAGATCAATGAACAGTTTACCTTTCAGATTTATAGAGAAGGGAAGAATTTATGACCAAACAAGAGATAGAGAACATTATAAAATGCAAAATGGATAATTTTGATTACATTAAATTGTAAAGTTTTTGCACAAAAAGAGCCAATGCATCCAAGATTAGGAGAGAAGCAGAAAACTGGGAAAGAATTTTTACAACCAGTGTCTCTGATAAAGGCCTCTTTTCTAAAATAGATAGAGAACTG